AAATCACGTATAATTGTGATTGGTTTGTTCGTATGTACGTTAACTTGTATTACAGTCTGTAATTATTAATCGTTTTAATCACTTTTGTGTTGCGACAGTCACGAACAAACAACAAAGGGAAAAGTAGTTATTAATTTAATACGTAATTAATTGCTGAAGCGGAGCAAAGTTTTATTTAATTAGGAATGCATTTGCATTTAAAAGAATTTTTTCACTTGATTTTTTTCTTAAATTGAATCTCGTATTTCATGTTTTAATATATGTCGTTTAGTTTTTTTTCGGCAACGCCCACAGTAACCGTTAGCAGATATTTTCAGTTTAAAAAAAATTTCAATCTTTCGCCAATGCAATATATTTAGAGCGTTGTCCGCACATAGATATGCACACCTACATTTGGCTAAAATAGAATAGAAACGCGACAGTTTGACCATTTTTAATTTTTTTCTTTTGTTTATTTAAAGCTTATTATTTTTTTTTTTTAAGTACAACACAGTAACTATCAAAAACTATGTAAGTCCGAATTTAAAACTTTGTGCAAAAATTAGAAAGTCAATAGTTTCATTAAAATCGCATTGGTCTATTTTGATCATTGATAACGGTTGCACCATTTCCGTGTGCGATTTCCGTTGAATTTGCCAATTTACTCCCAACCAACCAACCGCCGCTAAAGAAGACATCTAAAAGCCAAATGGTGTCCGAAAAGGGCTGGAATGCCACATATACTATGTATGAATTATTGTTGGGAAGTGTCGAGTACTTATCAGTCAAAGAGTGATAGCCTTCCAGTTTTAGACACGTTTCTCCAGCAATTGGGCGATTTATTTATAAAGAATTTCCTACGCCTTTTTATTTTCTAGTACAACTTTTCACGTAATTTGCTCCGATTTAGGCTTGCCGTAGCTCTAACTCTGCTCGTTGCTTATGCAGTTATGGACACGCCCTTCAGTTCTGCGAAGATAGTTCTTTTCTTAAAAAAGAACTCAACGAATTCCATCAGAGGATGTATCCAACCGAAGGTAGGTACAAAAAAATAAACCAGTGAACTATGGGGCTCTTGTAAGTTCGACGGATTGCACGGATTTTGGCACACAAGGTCGCAACAACTGTCATTATCTTATATCATCTAATGCCCAGTGCCTCACATTATCCTAAACACTGAAGAGATCTCTGGGGCGTATATTATCCGTCTTCCCTACCTTATTATTGCCACGCAGTGATTCACCGATAAGTGGTATCACAAAGTACCATCTCTTAAATGTCCAAATGACTTTTAAAACTAAGCCTTTAACATTTTTTCAAATTTTTAAAGAGACCAGCTCGTCAAACTCACTAGTTTTTTTTTTTTACCTTAAGCCCGCTTACCAAATTTCTTCTACGACCACTTAACCCAATTCCTTTCCGCAGCCGAGTTGACAAACTGAAATAAAGTGGTTTGAATGAACAACCCCAGCACTTAAGAGATTTTCAATATTCAATTAAAACACAATCCCTCCCTGTCATGGCACCAACTAAAACCAACAGCGCCAATTGAAAACGGTCACTGTTGTACGGCCGTAGATTGACAGTGACGTGGTCACGACTATATGCACATATGTACATAAGTATGTATTTTTGTAGTAACGCGTCATTCTCTAGTCCTTCGTACTCACCTGAGCATTGAAATCGAAGAAATACTCCGGTCGCAATGGGCATGGTAGACCACACTTACAGGTACCCGGTGACAATAAATAATCCTTTAGTTCGTATTGCGTACGCAGCGTTGCACCGGTTGGACTGAAAAGATGTAGAAAAAGAAGAGAAAAAAAGTAAGTTAGAGAGGATTATTGAAAACAACGAACAAATTAAAAAAAAAAACGTGTAAAAGCTGTTAAGGACATGCCTACAAGTGCAACGTAAAGATATCGGGTAGTCTGTCGCATATTTGTCGGACATGATGAAGGACAGTCAGCAAATGTAAGAACTAAATTAATTAATTCTTTCGTTATTTTGCGACATGTTCTTTAGAGTTTACAACACACAAATTGGAAAGGAGTGTTTAGCAAGGTGTGCGCACATACCGAACTGACTAAATATACGCCGTCCGTCTACCGCATTTTATTTATTCACAAACTGTCAAAGCACGCGCCATTTGCAGTTGCGTCTTCTGCAAAACTTGCTCATCATGTAAACGCAATTTTTATTCTTAACATATCACATTTGTTAAACAGATTCTTATTTAAATAGCTGCCGGCCCAGTAACCTGTACGCTCGCCGTGTCTGTTGCCAGTTTGGCGACTAGGCCGTTAGCCACTACAACTCCTTGGCTTTGCACAATTTAAACTAATTACTTGCGTGGCGGTTAATTAAGTCACAACACAACACAACAACAACAACGACAACAATTAGCACACAATGTCATACATTTATTTGAGTGACGTCAACTTTAATAGCACATAAGGAGACGACGCCAGCCAGGTTGCTACATACATACATACTCGTATTTAAGTAGCCGCCTGTCAGAGCATTGGCAGTCGAGCGCAGCTGTTAGCAGGTGTGTTAAATGCTAAGTTGACATTTTGTTATGTGATTAGTCATGTTGTTTCAATTAGTTATTTCAATTTATTTTACGAAATGGAAAATTATTTAATTAAATTCTGCAAGGTGAGCGAGTTATGGGCCGTAAACAAGGGGAGCGTTTTTTTCTTTATTTTTTAAATCTCTAATTCATTTTATTTATAGAGCACTTAAACAATTTCAAATCCTAGTGTCTTAAGATAATTATACTAACTACCCGACAGGCCACCCCCAAGAAAGCGTATTTTCCACTAGCTACTGACCGAACGTGATTTATTGGTATTATGAAATATATGTATGCAACCCGCTGGACTAAAGAATCACTTCCAGACAAGGATCCCCTCAGATGGTGAAGGGGAAGAGAATTCGGTCCTGATCTTGTATTCTGATTCAGCAGCGATCTACACTGACGGCTCCAAGTTGGATCTGAAGGTAGAAAGTGGAGTAATATTCATTCATAGCATGAACCTCACTTAGCCTCAGATCTTTGCAGCATTTTTTATGCTGAACTTACAGCAATCAACGAAGCTNCTCAGCAGCGATCTACACTGACGGCTCCAAGTTGGATCTGAAGGTAGAAAGTGGAGTAATATTCATTCATAGCATGAACCTCACTTAGCCTCAGTTTTCGTGTTCCAGATCTTTGCAGCATTTTTTATGCTGAACTTACAGCAATCAACGAAGCTGCAAGATCGCTAATCGATTCTTCTATTAATTTGGATGCTTTTGTTTTTTTACACTGCAGAATCAGGGCAAAAAATTTAAATTTTTAAGTCATCAAAAATGCTTTGATTTATGTATTCTCAATACAAATAACTTAAAATGTAATTTAATNACACTGCTGAATCAGGGCAAAAAATTTAAATTTTTGCTTTGATTTATGTATTCTCAATACAAATAACTTAAAATGTAATTTAATTTTATATGGAGAAAATGTGTGGGATGATCATAAAAACGCCTTAAAAAATTAAGTTCAAGGAAATTGCTCCATTTGTGAAACTTAACCTGTTTGAGTGAGAGCGTTAGAAAACCTGCAATCAAGAGTTCTTCTTAAATAGAAGTTTGGTCAAACTCAGTTCTCTTTTTGCTCAATTGAAAAACTGACAACGGTTCAACGTACTAGAGTTGCCAGTTCTCAAAAAAAAAACATCGATGCGTCAATACATTGAGTGGCAAATTTTCGATGCATCGATGATTTTCCGACATCGCTGGCCAAGTCCTGAATATAGCACACTTGTTCTATCTAAGTGTTAACTACTTATTCGCTTCAGTTCGAAACTATAAAAAACACAAAGCCATGAAAACAATTGGCCTCCTCTCTGAGGTGCAGCCCATAATTTTTGTCTTTAAGCTCACGCACCGTTTTATTATTATAACCCTCATCGCCACATGCATAACTTTTTAATTAGTTAATTTAACAATAAAAGTTCGTAAACACACAAAAGCAGATCAAATCAAGAAATAACGTCCAATACGAGGCAATGCCACACACAATCTGTGGATAAACCATAACAGCCCTTACATATCACCTTTGATACCAAATCACATAAATTTTTGTACTTAAGAATAGATTTTCACACTTGACTTAAACGTAAAGCGAAGAAAGCAGCAAAGAAAAATAACAAGTAAAGTCAGAAGAAATGTTAGCAGAAAGCAAGGCGCTGGGGTACAAAATGGCTTATGGCCTCGAGCGGTTAATGTCTGCGGCCTATCAACGCCAAAGCCACCAACTTAAATAGCTGGCAGCAAAACTTTGAATGATCCCAAAAAGTTTAGCAGGTTAACAAAGCCGTGGTGCATACATACTCGTAGTAAGTACAACAAGGATGTGTATCCTTCAGATGTTGATAAGCCAACTGCATCGCTAAAGAAAAGGTGAATGCAAAGGTGTTAGCCGAGTAAACTGAAATCAAGAAGTCCTATTTAACCTTCAACTTAAGACATTGGGTTTAACAAACTATGCACACAAGTGACAACTAGGATGAGATACAATAATGGAAATAATAACAGCAACAATAAAGAGACAATAACAGCAACGACAATGACAAAGACAACCACAACGATAGCAACAAAAGCCAACAGAACGCAAACATGANTGTCGCTAAAGAAAAGGTGAATGCAAAGGTGTTAGCCGAGTAAACTGAAATCAAGAAGTCCTATTTAACCTTCAACTTAAGACAATGGGTTTAACAAACTATGCACACAAGTGACAACCAGGATGAGATACAATAATGGAAATAATAACAGCAACAATAAAGAGACAATACCAGCAACGTCAATGCCAAAGACAACCACAACGATAGCAACAAAAGCCAACAGAACGCAAACATGACAAACACATAATGGAGATATTGTGGTTGCGGTGGTAAATATTTATAGAAAGCGTAGAAAAATTAGACGGTGGAACTATTTCCGAATACCACCGAGGAACGCCCCCCACAACCAATAAGCAGTACGACGCACAGCGTGGAAGGACACCGTACACAAGCCAAACAGAAAAAACTAAAAACAGCATATGAGAGCTGTAACACAGAAGAAGAAGGAAAAACGAGAGTGGTGAACAATAAAGCATAATAAACAAATGGGAAACCTGAAATATCAACGCTCAGGTGTACTAGCTGACACGATGGACAGAGGACAGAGAACTAGTCAGACCACACCACTAACCACTGCCACCAAACCAACAATGCAGCTTCAAATTGTTGGCAAATGAGGTGCCAGCGGTTACCTGTTAGATATACATACATGTATGTATGTAAGTGTGCAACTAAAGGGCAGCTTACATTTTGGGGTTGGTGGAAAGCATTGTTGCGGCAATAATAATAAAACTTGTAGTGCTTAAGCAAAACTTTGCGATAACCTAAAAGTTGAAAAAGTTTACGGAAGTAGCAAAAACAAAAAGCAACCAACCTAACATTTGTTAGAGAGCTAAAGCTCAGCATACTACGTCAATACTATTTGAGGGTGTGGAAGTGTTTTTCTTTAAGCCACAGCGAGGGCNACAACAGAAAAAACTAAAAACAGCATATGAGAGCAGTAACACAGAAGAATAAAAAGAAAAACGAGAGTGGTGAACAATAAAGCATAATAATCAAATGGGAAGCCTGAAAAATCAACGCTCAGGTGTACTAGCTGACACGATGGACAGAGGACAGAGAACAAGTCAGACCACACCACTAACCACTGCCACCAAACCAGCAATGCAGCTTCAAATTGTTGGCAAATGAGGTGCCAGCGGTTACCTGTTAGATATACATGTATGTATGTATGTAAGTGTGCAACTAAAGGGCGTGCAGCTTACATTTTGGGGTTGGTGGAAAGCATTGTTGCGGCAATAATAATAAAACTTGTAGTGCTTAAGCAAAACTTTGCGATAAGCTAAAAGTTGAAAAAGTTTACGGAAGTAGCAAAAACAAAAAGCAACCAACCTAACATTTGTTAGAGAGCTAAAGCTCAGCAGACTACGTGAATACTATTTGAGGGTGTGGAAGTGTTTTTCTTTAAGCCACAGCGAGGGCATACACAAGAACACAGGATAAGGTTAACCATATACGATATGAGGAGTAAGTACTTACTTGTCGGGCAACTTAGCGACCAACATGAAAATTATATATACAAGCTGAGTTATTTTAGATCGAACAGGAAGTCAATCTGGTCAGCGCAATGAGGAAGTATTTTTCAGAGTTTTCGTGTTAGTTAGTTTGTGTGTTTTTACATTTAGTTATCTNCATACACAAGAACACAGGATAAGGTTAACCATATACGATATGAGGAGTAAGTACTTACTTGTCGGGCAACTTAGCGACCAACATGAAAATTATATATACAAGCTGAGTTATTTTAGATCGAACAGGAAGTCAATCTGGTCAGCGCAATGAGGAAGTATTTTTCAGAGTTTTCGTGTTAGTTAGTTTGTGTGTTTTTACATTTAGTTATCTGGCGCTTGGGGAGTTCATCAACTTTTGCTGCCGTAACAAGCTGCACATTACATGCGCTATAATCTTGTAGCTCATGTTCAAGTTGGCAGCATTCACCGGACTGTGGCTGCTGCGAAACAAGCTTTATTACGACAGTTGTTCATTCATTTGCCAACATTCAATTTATTTGCAGGCAAATGAGTTTAAAAAAAAAAAACTAATTTGAACTAAATAGTGGCCGCTGTGACTGAGTGGTTAGAAGTGCGTAACACAACTTCATGGACCTCGGTTCGATCCCTGGTC